ACGCTGGCTCCCTCGACCAACAAAGCGAGATGAGCGTCGCAACCCCAGAGTCGGTCACGACTGGACCTAATGGTCAGGGGTCCCTTTACCTTTACCTATTAGTAATGTTGGTAAAATGCAGGCATGTTTCTCTCTTGCATATCTCCAAGGGAGAATGAGACAGCTCAGTGCAGAGCCCTGCTTATTTGCAAGGCTTGGGAGCCTGACCCCGATGCAGTTGAAAGCTGTGTTCCTCCTGAGGGCCTTAGGAGGACATAGCTGACATGCAGGCGTCTTTTAATTTTGTGACTGCTGTCACCACCTGTAGTGATCATGGAGCCCAAGAAAGTAAAATCTCTTGCTGCCTCCATTTCTTCCCCTTCTAATTGCCAGGAGGTGATGGGACCAGTGGCCATGATCTAAATTTTTTTGATGTTGAGCTTCAGGCCATATTTTGCGCTCTCCTCTTTCACCCTCATTAAGAGGTTCTTTAATTCCTTCTCAGCACTTACTGCGCATTATTAGGTGATGTGTGTGGCCTGCATCTTAGCTGCTGCAGGAACACACTGCACATAAGCACGTCTTCCTACAGCGCCTTTTCCAAACATGACCTTCATACTGGTTCCATTGCTGAACTCTGCAGCTGGGCAAGAGCCCATAAGCCCTGCCTTTACCCTGTTCATTCTTGACGCTAAAGAAGGAAGCACAGGGTTAGACAGGAAGTTGATTCCTCCACAATGACTTCTGTTTTCTGTCTTGAGTAGCTGACTGTCTATGCGATTGACACTCACTTTCTGTCTCCTCAACAGGACAACCGGATTTTTGAGACGTATTTGAAGCCGCTTTTCCGGAACGCCCTGTCCAAGCTGTGAAAAGAGGAAATGAAGCAGAGAGGCAGCTCCCCCCCCCCCCGCCCTGCTGCTCTCAAAGCAACACCGACGTTTATTGATTAATGTAAACCCATAAAATGTAGTGGCCGACTGCCTTTTGAGTCTTGTCCATCAAAACATTCTCTTGAGTTTTCCTGGCAAGCGGAAGGCAGCCAGCGAATCTGAACAATTTGCTTTGGCGGTGGGGAGATGCCTTTTAACTTCACCAAATAAGCCAAGTTTTATTTTATTTCGCTGTGCACAGCAGCCCTTACTGACAAGGTATGTGCCAGCCCAGTCCACCAGAAATACTGCCATGAGATCAGTCCACCAGCCGTTTTAGGGCTGGGATTGGGGAACCTGTGGCCCTCCAGGTATGGCTGAACTACAGCTCCCATCATACTTGACCATTGGTCATGCTGACCAGAGCTAGGAGGAGCGCCACAATTCCCTCCCTTGCTTTAGGATCCGGACCAGGACCAAGAGGGTAGCAGTTGTACAGAACCCCCTAGAGAGTCAGTGTGGTGTAGTGGTTAAGAGCAGTGGACTCGTAATCTGGTGAACCAGGTTCGCATCCCCGCTCTTCCACATGCAGCTGCTGGGTGACCTTGGGCCTAGTCATACTTCAGAGCCCCACTCACCTCACAGAGTGTTTGTTGTGGGGGAGAAAGGGAAAGGAGATTGTTAGCCGCTTTGAGACTCCTTCGGGTAGTGATAAAACGGGATATCAAATCAAACTCTTCTTCTTCCCTATAGCAACTTTATTGATGGCAGAATTCTGGTGATGGCAGAAGGCATTGCTATGGCTCTTCTCAGGGCCTGGCCACACCCACCAATTGATGTCATATGACCTCAGGTAAAGCCTCGGCTGCAAAGGAGCAACTGGGAGCATTAAATTGGGGCTCCCAGTTGTTCCTTTTGCAAGCAGGGCTTGCAATGTAAATCTGGAGCGGAATGCAAGCTGTCAGCCAGGTCAGATCCACTTGATGTCATGATTTCAGGTGACTGGCAGCGGGGTATGCTTGCCCACCTAGGACTGGCTGCAACTTGAGCCAACCAAAAATGATTCCGCCCCCTTTTCTTACACACACGTTTCCTGCGTGGAAATTCGCCTGCACTAATGTAAGAAGAGGCATGGAATGGCCCATAATGACGATTCTTGTTTTTAATACTTTCAGGGAAACGTACCTATTCTCCAAGTGCCTAACCAGTAAAAAAAAGAAAGAAACTCGCCAAGATGCCTTTAAGAACCACCAGACCCTTAGGATGTAATTGTAGGTCTCTCAAACCCACCTTGCAACCTCTAATTTAAAATCTCACTGTGGTGACAGAGCTTGCACTAAATTAAAGATCCTGCACAGGAAAGACAGGGGTATAGATGTTTTAAATTAATTTCACACAGGCACCAGGCTGGCAGAAGCACACAAGCTGAAATTAAGCTAATGATCAAGTTCCATTTAATCAGCTTGCAAGTGTGCAATTTAGGAAGAGCACTTTTAAGCAAATAAATTGCAATTCAGATGCTTCAAAGTGGGGAAGGGATGCAAGTTCATTCCCTGCCTATAAAAGGAACAATGGCCTCATCCACAGGCACCTCTGGTAACCTACCAGTGAATTGTTATGAGGATAAAATGTGGGGAAAGCCATGTATGCCATGTGAAGCTCCTTGGAGGATGCAGGGGATACATATGTATCTCGCCCCCTTTTAGTGATAGACTACTACAATGCACCCCATGTGGGGCTTACCTTGAAGACTGTGCAAAAGCTGACGCTACTGCTGCTGCCAGGTAAACACATGGGGCAGCAAGAGGGGTTCGTGTGTCACCAATCCTTAAAGCGCTGCACGGGCTGCCTATGAGCTAACTGTGCCTGGTTCAAGGGATCAGTACAAAACCCCAAGTGGCTTGATACTCAAGTACTTAAACCAAATGCCTTCCTCAGTTTCTGTCAGTTCAGGCTTTGAGATGGCGAAGCTATGCTTGTAGTCCCTTGGAGAGACATGGGCCATGGGGCCGCGATGCAAAGCAGAGACTTCTTGGTGGTGTCTCCTTGATTGTGGAATTCCGTCCTGGTGGAAAGCTGCCTCCCCACCCCCACTATCATTCTTGAAAACTTAGAACATACTTTAGTACAGAGCTGGACTGAAGTTCAGCAGTCTAGGTATCGCCGTCTGTTGAATTGTATTTCATTGCTGATAAGGGTTTTATGGTTTTATGCATATTTTATTTTTATGATTATTGTGCAGCACTTTGAGCTTCTACAAGAGGGGGGAAGGCTGAGGAACAAAGAGCAATAAATAATGATCTTGTGAATAAATTAAAGGAGCGCTGTAAAGAAATGGGGGAATCCTCTGCTGGTGTTTAAAGTTTAAGAGCAAGAGGCTGCATGTGCGACTGTGGTTGGGACGTGAAAACTAGGACTGAGGAGTCTTGGATTCAAATCTACACTCAGCCATGAAGCTCATTTGGTGGTCCTTGAGCTGTCACCTTCCCTCATCCTAAACTGCCTCATTTGTTGTTGTTAGGATAAAGTGCAAAGGGGGTGGAGGCAAAGAACCATGGAGTCCGGGAGGAAAGGCACAGAATAAAAAGGTAATACCCTCAAGCTGAGGTGAAGATGAAGGAGGGATCGTAACAGCTTGACAAAGGCCACCTAATGAGTTTGTAATCGAGCTACAAGCTGAATAGAGGATTTGTTTCCTCACACTTAAGTCACTGTGCTGTATCTGTAGCTCATTAATGCACTACGTCAATGTAGCTCCATGGCGTCATTAGTACTTTAAACAAAAAGAGTCATTTGCAAGTGATGCTGTTGCCCTTGTATAGTTTCCTTCGAAATCCAAGAGGTGATGGGTCTATCTTCCCCATACAATGTTGTTCTATTTTTAAATGGCGCCGCTTAATTTTTTCTAGATTCTATTTGTACGTTGAACAATTCTAGCCATTGCAAATAAAAACATGTAATGCCACGTTGTCTTATTGAAATGATTGGTGTTGTTGGTTTGTCAATGGAGACATATATGAGGAGAGAACAGCTTTTGGGGAGGGGTGCAGGATTTATTGGTGCTGGAACCCTCCAAATCTACTGCTAACCCAGACTGAAATACTGGAAAGGGTTTGAGTAAAGAATTAAGCGAACATTGGATGAAGCTAGCAGGGCCTCTGCTTGATGTTTAGAAATGTTTTTAGTCTTGAGTTAAATTTTGCAGGCCTCCGTTGTCTTCAAATTCCACATTCCCCCTTCTTGCATTCTGTCTTCTGGGATTATTTTATTTGGGAGAGTTTGGTAAAACGGCCAGCTAATACAGGTCCACTGAAACAGCCTCTTACGTATCGAAGTCGTCTCACAAAATTAATGAGCCTATTTTTAGTAACCAGGCAGCTGCTGCAAAGCAGAGGGACAAGCAAGCTACCGGTATTTCGCTTTAGTAGCGAAATACATTAACAACCCTTTGCCACTATTCCAGCAACTCCTGCATCCAAGCTGGTGCCAAATGTATCGCTTTCCTTTCCTTTGGACCACATCAGTGAGGACGAGAGGGCAATCTTGTTGTCTAGGCAGCCCCAAGACCTCCCTACACACTGCCCATTGTCATTTATCACCCACCCTTCACTCTAGAGAGCCAGTGTGGTGTAGTGGTTAAGAGCAGTGGACTCGTAATCTGGTGAACCAGGTTTGCGTCTCCATTCCTCCACATGCAGCTGCTGGGTGACCTTGGGCTAGTCACACTTCTCTGAAGTCTCTCAGCCTCCCTCACCTCACAGAGTGTTTGTTGTGGGGGAGGAAGGGAAAGGAGAATGTGAGCCGCTTTGAGACTCCTTCGGGTAGTGATAAAGCGGGATATCAAATCCAAACTCTTCTTCTTCTTCTACGGTTCCAGGATGGGTTACAACACTTGAACACAATATTGAAAACTGCTGAGAACATAACCAGTTTTTAAAAACCTCTTATACCTAAACTTCCCCGAAGTTTTTAGCAAACTTTATTGAACTTTTTTGTGCTTTTACTGCTTTTCATATAGATTTCTTTGTCTTTAACTGAGCAAAAAATAAACAAACACTGTAGGGGAAAACACGCTGGCGCAAGCCTCCTTTATCTGCCTGAGGCAGAAACCTCCCTCCCTCCCTCTGACATCACTAAAGAAGCAAAAGCAAGACTTAATGACTTTTTAATTAAAAACCCTTCAGGCCGTTCGCAAGCAAGGTTGCAACAATTATTGAATGAATAGGTACACACACACACACAAAACACGCACACCTGAATGCCGTGTTCCAGAACTGCTTTCTGTGCGAGCTCTAAAACATGACCTTAAAGGCATCTCACGTTGTAATATTTATAATACTGTTTCTCTCACGTTTCTTGTCCTTGTGTATTTCATCGTATAAGGGACATCCGGTTATATCTGTGTTACTACAAGCTCCATGCACAAACACAAAGCGAGAGAGACTGCTGCAATTGTACATTTCTAAATACTTTATCTGCATCCACGAGAAACAAGCTTTTTGTTTGTTTTAATGGCAGAGAAGGTCGGCTCCTGTGTTCTTAAGAGGACCCTCTGTTGTCCCAAGTGCTCATCTGGAGGCTGGAGAATGCAAAGGGTGTTCTGGCATCTATTAGCGCTAAGCAGACGCAGAACACAAGCGCTCAGATGGTATGAGGTCATAAGCCTGGGAGGGGTGGGAAGGCTTCGTGAAAGAATGACGGGAGATCAGCAGTGGCATTTGTGCATCTCCACAATGCAAATGCAACAGCAATACAATAAAATGCATAGGAAACATATGTGCAGACTCACTACTTCTTCCCCTTACAAGCAAAATTGTAAAGCAAGATTTGTTTTTTAACCCCATTCAAAAAGCATTTGGTAGGGCCTCAGAGGACCAGATCAAATTGTTTCAAGGGCTAGATCTGGCCTGCAGCGTGCCAGCTGGCCTTCGTTATTCTACGGGAAGATGCAATTCTTCACAATTATATTCCTCTCACCCAGCCCAGCTGCCATGTGTAATATAGATCCCTAAATCCTGACATTGCAGCGCTGTCATTATTTTGCTTAGAAAATTCCAACCAGTGATTCTAAAAAGTTTGCTTTCTTCATTTCCATTTACTCCTATGCATCTTAGAATAATTTCGAGAAAGAAAAAAAAACCATATCTGTAATTTCCATTTTTTTATTAGCTTCTTGCTGGCAAGCATTACACCTGGGAATAATACTGCACCAGGCATTTAAAAAAAAGTTCTGCCACAGGGATTATTATTATTATTATTTCCTTCCAAGTCCAATGGAAATACTTCTAACTGTATTTTTGTCGCCATAGGTAATATTTGGTTGCTTGTTTTATAATGCATAGAAAGAAAGAGTTCTCATAACTGTAAAATGCTGTACTGCTGACAATAAAACCAGGGGCAGAAGAAGCCTGATGGTACCTCAATTTTTTTAATACTGCTTGCTTACCGATTTATGAAAACTAGGTTAGATTACATGATGGTAGCTTTTCCTCTCCCCAGCTGCACATTAACAAATCTGGGTACAGCCCAGAGAGAACTTCTCCTACACAAACTTCTCTTGTACTGTTTCTTATTCGTTTTGGTGTAGCTTACGAGATAATTCACACTGGACTGGAGCCTCAGGAGTTGGTTTGTAATAGCACTAGACGGGTTAAACACAGGTTAAAAACCAGGAGACGATTTTTAGCACTTTACATTGTACTGTGTGAACACCACGGAAAACGTGTCCTAAATGTAATTATTTCACAGTCCTTCCAAGGTTCATCCTTTGTGAAAATAAAAAAATAAAAGTTTCTTTGATGGAATGAGCAGGCACATGCAAACATTTCCTCACGACATGACGGAAGATTAGAGGCCGGAGCATGCCCATTCTCCGGTCCTTAGGAATCCATAATAAATATTTAAAACAAATATATATATATATAATCTATGTATATATGGAGAAAGGGAGAGATGCAGAGATTTTCTCCAATGTTGTTTTAAGTGGAAGCCAGTCTCCAGTCTCTTAATACCTTGTTCTGAGAAGCTGCTACATAGCTTCTGGACGGTAAACAAACGGGGAAAGAAGGGGTGAAATCAGTCGTCCGTTTTCTGTGCCAGTCTACAGAAAGTCCAGTTGTGTTCCACCGTATTTTCATTGGCTCGTTCGCTCATGTGGTGGACCCTGGTGTTTCGGATGGTGAAGCCTTGCTTTGTGATGTACTCCATCAGGTGGACCCGAAGGGAGACTTCTTGGTGGTAATCGCAGGGCCCAAACGTGAAAGAAACTTGGCAGTCCCTCGTGTCCATCATATGCTTGTTCCACTTGGTGAAATAGTTGGAGATCCCTTCCAGCAACGAGTGGACCTTGGTCGTGATGGTCAGCTGCGTTATGATCACCGCCACCGGGTTGGAATATTTCGAGAGCTTGCGAGTGCTGGAGAGCTCCACCACTTCCTCAAAGGTATCCACGGGATACAGAGGTTTGGGCTCGTTAAGACACTGTATCAAGGGTTCGATCTGGTAGAAGTCCGCTTCTTTACGAAGCAGGTCAAATTCCTTGAAGTCCAGAGGCAGAGTCAGCTCTGACGTCCGTAAAAAGTTGAGGACGTACCGGAAAAGCGGCCCGTCCCGGTCGATGAAATAGTTGCCCTGGGAGTCCCTGGCGGTGGGGAAGCCTCCCCGGAACATGGCTCCCAGCATGGAATCGGGGTACCTCGTGAGCGTGGTGAGCGACGTCGTGTACAAATGTCCACCCACATTCAGAGTGACCGGCTCAGTCATCTGCGGAAGGGGAGAGAAGTTTCAGAGCTCTCACAAGCCAACATATGAATACCCCGTAAGTACCTTAAAAAACGATCATTTAATAAACAACTGCTTATGCAAACAAACAAACAAGCAAGCAATAAGAACTGCACTTTCCCCCTGTATGACTTAGCATGGGGCATTATAATCCAAAGTTAATTAGGGTAGAGCCCAACTTGCACTCACAGAAGTGTTTGTGATCCAGAAGAACAGAAATGGAGGGGAGTTTTCCTGATTTGCCCTTCCACCTGCAGCCATAGCTGTCAACTTACAGATTTGAAAATAAGGGACCAGCAGCCTCGAAAATAAGGGATCAGCGGCCAAAATAAGCGATTTTCCCAGCACAGGTATGTTCGACTTCTGAGCCCCTCCAAGCCAAAGGCAGAACACCCAGCTAGCAGCCAAACGAAGCCTCAAGCGGTCGTTCCCACAGCGCAGCAACCCGGCAAAGGGGATGCAGCAAGGAAAACCACCGTCACCTCTCCACTGGGAAGCGCTGAGCAAAGGCAAGTCCCCAGGCAATGCGGCCGATTTGATCAGCACAAGGCATGCAAGCCCAGTCGTTCTTAGACTCCTTATTGGGTGAGCAACACAGCCAAGCAACACAGTTGGAACCTCCCTCTTCCCTGGCCGGCAAGGAGGGAGGGAGAGGAGCTGCTTCCTTTGAAACCCAGGAAATTTAAGGGACGTCATCAATAAGGGACAGCAGCGGGACACGGTGCTGGGATAAGGGAGTTTCCCGCCAAATAAGGGACGGTTGACAGCTATGCCTGCAGCTCTCCCTCTTGCCACCTGCCGCCCTGTTCTTGAGGGTCTCTAGCTCAATTTTCAGGTGGCACAAGGAGGGAGCAGGGAGAGAGGACAACCCCCCCCCCAAAAAAAAAATTTTGCCTGTCCACTTAGCAGAGGCACCGCCTGAATCAAAAGCTCCTCGGCTGAGCCCAAAGGCATCAACTGGATTCCTCCCCTGATAAGGCAGAACAGTATTTATAATCTGCCTTTCAATTCCATCTGGAACACAACTGTACCATCCTCTGGGAAGCATTCATCTAGCCATATAATTAGCTGCTCTCTTGGGCGGAGGAACAATTGCCGACGGGTGACCGAACGCAGCCACCTATCAGCAGCGCAGTAACTGACTCATCCCGCATCGCCCTGGCTCTGCGTGCCGTTCTCACCTGGCCTGCCATTTCCTTTTGAGATCACAGTGCAGAGCCTGCTGCTCATGCAGTTATTCTACTGTGCCGTCACTCCTGCGCACAAGTGTCCCCACCTCTTGTCCAAAGAGGAGAGGAAGGCGGGCAACCAGGTGAAGGGAGGCGTGACTGCCTCTTTATCCTTAATTTACAAAGCTGCAAAAAGTAAGAGGTGCAAAAAAAAAGGTACTTGCACCCCAGGATCAGTCGCAAACCACTGTTCTCTGTGGCACTCCTGGCACACACGCCACTTTGGTTTGCACCCAATGTTAGCTCTACTCAAGAGCAGAGCCATTGAAATCCATGGCCATGGCTAACTTAGGCTCATTCATTTCAACTGGTCTACTATTAGCCCAACTGGGCTTTATACAATTATGGTACCCACCCCCACCCCCCGGAGGCTGCACTAAATGGCTCCATGCGGCCAATTTCACCCAAGAATGAGCTCACTTAGGCACCCCGTGTGCCTTTGTCCACAATGCTGCACAACTCTTTTGGAGATTTTTTTGTGACAGTGTGTCTGGAAGCGAGGGAACCTGCTTAGCCTTTACAGTGTAGCCCAGCAGGCTACAGAGTCTGAATTCAAGCACAATGCCTCTCCTTGCTCTATGCACATTCAACATATACTAGGCAGAAATAGCTCAGCCGAACAAAAAAGAAACCAATGCCGAGAGGACCAGCGGCACCAGACTTGAGTAAGGATCTCTTTTAGGTCGAAATAAAAGAGCCACATAACAAATGAACTGCTGAAATGAAGAGCCAATTAGGAGAAATGTGTGATTTGCCCAGAGAAGCCCCCCAGGATGAGTCAATAGAAATAGCAAAATAAGGCTCCTTTAAAATATTATAGTGAAGATGGAGGTAAAACTTTCTGGCTGCAAACATCAATGACTTCTTGACCACTGCACTGGGGAAAAACAAGGCAGATTCACTTCTGGGCCAGGTGGCAGATTCATGAGTGAACTAGCAGGACATAGAGTGCTTTTGAGTCAAGGTGAGATGCTCATCTAATTCTTCCGCTGCCTGCGGGGTGGTTTTTAGAAAAGGATGCTTGGCATTAGGAGATTCACCTGTGCAGGCCTTATTAAATGGGATTTCAGCTGTTCTTGTGCATTAGGAGCTATTGACGGATACTGCCCATTCAAAGGAAAAGAGGAAGAGGTGAAAACTTTCTCAGATATGAATATAGTCTCTAGGACGTAGGCAAGGGACACCTGGGGTTTGCAGTATCCTCCCCACCCCCCTGCACAAACCAGGATCTTTCTACCTACCATCAACTGCCCTGTGTGAAATACCCTGATGACTTAATATAACATTCTGTTTTGTTTTGAAATGCAAATGTTACTTATAAGCAGCCTTGGGAGGCTTTGTACCCTGAAAGGCAAAATATAAGTACAGTTGTTACCTTGGTTTTTAAACAGCTTAGTTCTCGAAAGTTTTGGCTCCCAAACGCCGCAAACCCGGAAGTGACAGTTCCAGTTTGCAAACTATTTTTGGAAGCCGAACGTCTGACGGGGCTTCCACGGCTTCTGATTGGCTGCAGGAGCTTCCTGCAGCCAATCAGAAGCCATGCTTTGGTTTCCGAACATTTTGGAAGTCGAGCGGACTTCTGGAATGGATTCCGTTCGACTTCCAAGGTACGGCTGTAACTGTAATAAACAAGTAATACTACATGGTATGAAGCTGTTAGAAGAGTGCCAACAGCGAAGATCCTTGTGACATAAATTCAGCGTAGCATAAATTCCCATGGAGTCGCCTGCTTTGTCAGACGGAGGAGAAAGACCAGGTTCGCCATAACCCCTGCAATGCAGGAATCTCAACTAAAGCATTCATGACAGATGGCCACCCACCTCTGCTTAAAAGCAGTGTTCAAAATTAGCCACCATTAAGAATAATAGGTCAGAATAGGCCAATATTTATATGTGGCCTGTCCCTGGATCAAGCCACTTTTCTTCTTTAAGTTCTCAAAGCTCTTAACCTAGCTCAAGGTTGTCATCTGAACTAGCCAGATGTTTAACTGATGATCAATCACAGTCAGTTCATCCTTTGAAAAATAAGACTTTAGAGCAGTCTTACTCAAAATGGCAACAAAGCATTTTACTTGGGCAGCTATAATCTTGCTTTTTAGTGGGACACGCGTGGCGCTATGGTCTAACCCACTAAGCCTCTTCGGCTTGCCGATCAGAAGGTCAGTGGTTCGAATCCCTTCGACGGGGTGAGCTCCCGTTGCTCGGTCCCAGTTCCTGCCAACCTAGCAGTTTGAAAGCACGCCAAAAAGTGCAAGTACATAAATAGGTACTGCTCCGGTGGGAAGGTAAACGGCATTTCTGTGCTCTGCTCTGGTTTCGCCAGAAGTGGCTTAGTGATGCTGGCCACATGACCTGGAAAAACTGTCTGCAGACAAACGCCGGCTCCCTCAGCCTGTAAAGCGAGATGAGCGCCGCAACCCCCGAGTCGTCTGTGACTGAACTTAACTGTCAGGGGTCCTTTACCTTTAATCTTGCTTTAAGGAGCCATTTGGCACCTAGCTTATATTATCTGAGTTCCTAACACTGCTTAAAAACCTCTAATGAATGTGATCTTCGGGCTGGAAGAAGGTTCTCCACCCTTGCCTGCAGCTGACAGAGGAAATCTACCGGCCAAATCTTTGGCTGTAGGTCTGTAGCCAACAACACATACAGGGTATTACGACTGGAAAAAATGGAGCATTTGCATGGGGCCAGCTGTCTGGTAAAGGAGCACAGGAGGGCAGATTTAAACACACGTGCACAGCAGACACACACAGAACCCCTGGGAGAATTTGCCATGCCCCCACAGCCCAGCCGGCATACTTACTATATATCCCCAGTCTCCATTATCCATCTGTTCCAATGCGCGAGCTGCGCGAGCCTGGATTTATTGGAAGTCTTTGGAAAGTTTATGCAATTCACGGCTTATTCCTCCCTGGTGGGGGTGGGAGAGAGGAAAAAAGGAGAGCAGATTGTGAGCACTTTCAAGATGGAGAAGAGCAAGAACAAGAGAGCGGTGTTTCTACCCCTTCAAAAGGCGGGCTCTTTGCCTGCGCCTCGGAATCCAGCTACAAAGAAACTCAAGTACAATCACCTGCAGAAAAAAATTACCTTCCCGCCACTGACCTTCTTGCATCCTTTGCAGGTGTAGAGAGCCGCTGAGCCTCGCAGGGGGAAAAAAGATAATCATTACGCAGCCGCCTGAGTTGAAATAATGAGCACTTGGTCTCTGAAGGTGATCCACACTTTTAAAAAATGGTCCGCATATTTTATCTGGGAGAAAGGAGACTGTTTTCAAAGGTTGCCCCATACAAACATATGCCAAGGAAATGTGAATCAATGACATGGATGTACCTCAAAATCCACCTGCCCCAAGCTTGGGTCTCCAGCTGTTTTTGGACTACAACTCCCATCATCCCTAGCTAGCTGGACCAGGGGGTCAGGGATGATGGGAATTGTAGTCCAAAACCAGTTGGGAGACCCATGTTTGGGAAACCCTGATCTAGATGTTTTGGACTACAACAACCATCATGCCCAGCCAGCACGGACAATGGTCAGGGATTGAAGGGAGGCAACCCAGCCAGATGGACAGGGTATAAATCATAAAATTATTATTATGTAAGTCCAGCAACATCTGAAAGGTTCCAGGATGGGGGAGGGTTTGCCATTAACCCGTGTGTGTCCTGTACAGGAGCTCATCAAAGTAAGGAAACTGGAAATGAACCAATACTGAAAATCAAACAGCAATAGCCACTGCCATGGGCTAGACACAAAACAACACATAACTATTAGCCAATAAGCTTCAAAAACTTTTATTATTTATTACCACCCAGACTTCACCAGCAGATCCCAGGGCGGATTACAACCATTAGGAAAGGAGAATTAAAGTTAAAACATAAATTATGTTCACAGTAACAGGGTCGGGTGCTGAAAACACACATCTCAGGTGTCAGAGGCCAGGATAAAGACGCTTCAGGTTACAGGCGCTTCAGGTTACAGACTCTGCTAACCCAGAAATAGTACGTTGGGTTAAGAACTTTACCTCAGGATGAGAACGGAAATCGTGTGCCGGTGGCGCAGCAGCAGCAGGAGGCCCCATTAGCTAAAGTTGTACCTCAGGTTGAGAACAGTTTCAGGTTAAGAACGGACCTCCAGAATGAATTAAGTTCTTAACCCGAGGTACCACTGTACAGTGAAGAAGCCATGGGAAGGGGGCCTTCCGCAACCTAGGGGCTGCCACAGAGAATGCCTACTTACCAAGCCACCTACCCACACGGTTTCTGAGGGTGGTGGAACAACCATGAGGGCTCCCCTTGCTGATCTTAACACACAGCCCAGGCTTTGTATTTGGGGCAAATTGATAGTCCACTCCCACTGATTTGGCATTAAAAACATTTTTTTCAGTCTGAAATCTTCCTACTCTCTAGTCATGCAGCAAAGATTAAAAAAACCACAACAATACCACGGTTTTGTCCTTGGAGCCTTTCGTAACTATGGGGAGCTCAGAACCGGAAAAGCATTTGCTCTTCAGCTTCAATGGACGGCAAACTGGGATCCTTGCGAGTGCTGTGGAAGAATGCGGCTTCCAGTACAATTGTGCTCAGCTTCCTTGCAAGCTCTGTGATCTCACAGGAACGGCTAACGACAAACCGGTCCAAACGGCGACCCACCTTTCCACAGGCAAACGTGAACTCTCCACAGTAAAAACAAAACAAAACAATGCAAGGCTTGGCTGAAAACAGCAGGGCTGCTGCCGCCCTCTGCAAAAATCCATCTCGTTAGTTGGAACAATATTTCTTTCCAGCTTTGAAATAACTGGCTCACCATTCTTTCATAGGCAGATAGGTTTGGGAGAGGGGGCAGACAGAGAGAGAGAAAAAATGGAAGCAGCTAAAATAGGGGCACGGGACGCGGGTGGCACTGTGGGTAAAAGCCTCAGCGCCTAGGGCTTGCTGATCAAAAGGTCGGCGGTTCGAATCCCCGCGGCGGGGTGCGCTCCCGTTGTTCGGTCCCAGCGCCTGCCAACCTAGCAGTTCAAAAGCACCCCCGGGTGCAAGTAGATAAATAGGGACCGCTTACTAGCGGGAAGGTAAACGGCGTTTCCGTGTGCAGCTCTGGCACGCCAGATGCAGCTTGTCACGCTGGCCACGTGACCCGGAAGTGTCTCTTGAGTGACATGGGCGCACAACCCTAGAGTCTGGCAAGACTGGCCCGTACAGGCAGGGGTACCTTTACCTTTAAAATAGGGGCAGTTGACCATTTTTGGCCAGAGGAGCACACACAATACCCTCTCCTCTAGAGAATCTGTGTGAATCAGTTAAGAGAAAAGTAATTGGCCCCTCTCCACTCATCAAACGATTGATCTGACGACTGGTGATTTGCATCCTCATCACAGCACCGTATCTACTTTTAACCACCCCCCTTTTTTTCCTGCTGCCACCCATATTGGGGGTGCTAAGGAAGACCAGAAAATAAATGTTTGGAGGGGGGGGTGTCCAGATCAGGCCAGGGCTAAGCCACCCCAAGCCAAGACTAACATCGCAAAATGGCATTCCGGTGCAGTAGCTTTGCCCACAATCTGTGTGACATATTCAAATCGGACCATGCCATTGGCCATACCTACGTAGGACTGAAAACACGCAGAAGTTGTGTCAACATCAGAAAATGTTTATTTTATTTATTTAACAAAACATGTATACCACTTCACCATAAATAAAACTTCTAAGTGGTTGGCTGTTTTTATATCCTATCTAGGCTTGGTAGGCTTACCTAAAGAAAAGGGTTTTCAGTAGTACAGTCGTATCTTGGAAGTCGAACGGAATCCATTCCGGAAGTCTGTTCGACTTCCAAAACGTTCAGAAACCAAGGCACGGCTTCTGATTGGCTGCTGGAAGGTCTTGCAGCCAATCAGAACCTGTGGAAACCGCGTCGGACGTCCGGGTTCCAAAGAACACTCGCAAACCGGAACAATCACTTCCGGGTTGGCAGCGTTCGGGAGCCAAAACGTTTGAGTCGTAAGGCGTTCGTCAACCAAGGTACAACTGTGTAGTGAAGGCAACTGACTGATGTCAACTCCTTGATTAATTTGTCACAGTCAGACTCTCCTCTAGATTTGGGAATTGAGTTCTCCAGTCTGTTGACCAGGCAAGTGCAGATGCCTTGGTTCCTCAGTTCCTTAGAAGAGCTCTGAGGCTTAAGCAACACACGGACTCCCAACCCTGTGTGATTGAGAACCCAGACCATGCAATGTTGCATATCATGAGATCACCTGGTGTGTACAGAGAGGGGCTCCCAGCTGCATCCGTACCTTCAGACCTGACAGCAACTGTTTTTTAGATAGCTGAAGGGGTAGCAAACATGAGGGTGTGGAGCTAATGGATTTCACAGAGAGATTTCCATCTTTGGCCACCGTAATCCAAGCACCTTGTCTTTAAAGTCTACCAGTATCTGTAAGAATCTATTATTCCTCTTTTTCCCACTAAGACATCACATTGAGAAGCGGGTGGAGGGAGGAAACAGCTTGAAGGTTTAAGCAAGCTTTTTATCCAAAGCCATGTTTTCTGAGGTCCGTATAGTTCCATATAGTTAAAGCCATGGTTTTCCCAGTAGTGATGTATGGAAGTGTGAGAGCTGGACCATAAAGAAGGCTGATCGCCGAAGAATTGATGCTTTTGAATTATGGTGCTGGAGGAGACTCTTGAGAGTCCCATGGACTGCAAGACGATCAAACCTATCCATTCTTAAGGAAATCAGCCCTGAATGCTCACTGGAAGGGCAGGTCCCGAAGCTGAGGCTCCAAGACTTTGGCCACCTCATGAGAAGAGAAGACTCCCTGGAAAAGACCCTGACGTTGGGAAAGATGGAGGGCACAAGGAGAAGGGGACGACAGAGGACAAGATGGTTGGACAGTGTTCTCAAAGCTACCAGCATGAGTTTGACCAAACTGCGGGAGGCAGTGGAAGACAGGAGTGCCTGGCGTGCTCTGGTCCATGGGGTCACGAAGAGTCGGACACAACTAAACAACTAAACAACAATGAAGTGTTGAAGACACAGCTTATGGCGAAACCATGGGAAACAAAACTGAAAGTTTTTGATGAATTCACTGCAGGTGAAAGTTTACTGCGGGCAAGAGGGGGAGATGAAGAACTATCCCATTGGAAATTAACCACAGTCAGATGTTGCGGGCATTTTTCTCCAGTCTCCAAAGCGCAGTGACACCCAATGGATGTCCGTCTCTTGCTTTGAGAAAGCAAGAGCAGTAAGTCAGTCGGCATCAACCAGTTCAGCTTTTGTGACCAATTTCCATTCCCTTTATTGACCCCGTAGGCCTTAAAAGATGCCTAAATCACTGCTCTTTGCAGGGGAAGGGAGATTTACATCTTCTTGTCTCCTCCGCAGGCAAAAGAGACAGCATTTGATCGCCAGCCTGCTGCGTAGCACCAGAATGAATAATTTATCAAAGCAATTAGTTCAGGCAAGCCTCTTCCCATCCGTTTGCACGGGCAAAAAGGAGGCGCAGACAGCAGATGCCTCATTGATTTGGTGTAGGTTTCCAGGACCGCTAACAATCTAGAAATCTGGTTAGAAAACGTTAACACTTCAAGGAAGGAACAAAGTTATGCACAGCGACAGACTATTGCATGCAGTTAGAACATCGCCTTTTCTTTTTTTAAACAAGCTGACTCCATCAAACAACTTTAGCCTGGAAACTGTAGGGCTGTATTTCAATGGAACCACAAAACACCCATCCTGATTTATTTCATGCGCCCAAGCGCATAAGCTTTCTGGGGGCAACAATAGGAGGCTCGGCCATTGTCCTCTACGTTTACTTGCAAGAAATAACAGGATGGCAATTCCCACAGCAGAAGAGCAGGAACAGAGAAGCTGGTGCAAACTGGGGCAGTATTATGGCACGCACAAAACACAGAAGCAAAGTGAGCGTCCCAAGCGTGGCTGGAAAGATCTCAGGTGCCTCAAAAAGCAACGCTGTGGCACCTAAAACATTATTTGACATCTTTCCCTACCCATGTCCAGGTTTGGCTTCATAGATGCTGATGCTGGATCCTGATTTATTTATTTTTTAATTGCAACTACAGATAATTTTTCCTGCTCTGACCATGGCAGCACCTTTTGTCTCCCCACCAACCAGGACAGCTCTTCAACCAGGTTCATTTTTTAAAATGCTGATGACCAGAAGTCATATGTTCTATAGCAGGGATGTTCAACCTGTTGACCGCGATGAACAGGTTGATCCCCGGACGATCTCAGGCTCC